AGCTAGTTCCTGGGCTGTCGCCGTCGCTCTTCCTCAACGGGACGCCAGAGGTCGCCCAGCCTGGCAAGAGCACCGGCTGGGATTCGCGCAGTGCGGTCTCCAGCCTTGTTTTGAGGGCCACCTAGGCTAAGGGTTTGAGCTCACGCCTGTGTGTAGGACGCTCTGAACCCGATGAAGAGGGAATTGGGAAAGTGATTCGGCCCGAAGCCACGTTTCCCCCCTCCACTTGTATTCCCGCAACTCAAAGTGCCTTCCAGCGCCCGGGCTTCCCTGACTCTGCCAGGTGACATTCAAACCTCTGCTCTAGGCTTTCTCTGAGGACTGATACGGGCTTGGAATAGAAAGAGTGTTAAGATACTTCCTTCACCAATTGGGAAGACTGGACCTCGTAACTAATCCTCTTGGGAAAGAGGGGTGAACGGGAAGGAACTGAACACTGGCCATTCCAGGCAGATGGGTGGGTGGTCCTTGGACACAGGTCCCTTACCCTTTTATATTTACCTTCTGGTATCCCAGGGAGTCTTCAGGATTCTTAAGACAGGGCCAAACTCTGAAAAAAATTAGGAAGCCTATTCTGGAGGATAAAGCCTCTTGAAAAAAATCTCCAGGAATTAGGATTTTCAATCCATTTTATGCTTTTAGTCAAGGAAGAAAAAAAGTCAAATTGTTAATCATTGAATTCCCAGAGACTAGCACTGCACTCATAAATGGTCATCGAACCACTCTGAAATCCATTCCAACTGTCCCTGTGTTTACTCTAGATGAGTTTGCATTTTTAAGAGGACTCTTTGAAAAAAAGCAATGCTCAACTTAAAAGAGTAATAATAGAGTAGGGGCGGTGTTTGGAAAGAAAGATATTTGGAATACTGCAGTCTCCCTGAATCCCCCCTCAGTGAACACTGTGCTAAGCTGCTAGTTACCTTGGTTACAGCAGGGGAATCTCTACATCTAGATTTTGGCTAATGTGTCTTTCCAAATCCCTTCAGCCCCTGCATAAATTCATATATCTTGAAGTTCTATGAAGGCTCCCATTGAAACTGCAAACACAAAAACCCTGCCTTGTGACAGAGGAAGTTGTACAACAATGATAAATCTTGATCTAATTACAGGAGCCTCATTAAAATCCATGCATGTACTGGAATATAATGGAAATGGGCTATGTCAATCATAATATTAAATATTACATCCTCTTGTGTTCCTAAATTCAAGGACAGAAATACTCCTATGGTTCACACTAAGGACAATTCTGGAGCTATCTTAATAATGCAGACTTAGTACTTGTGGTAGATTGTATTTTACAAAAATGCTTGCAACCTGATTTCCACTACCTCATGCTTTTCCAGAACCTTGTCACTCCCACATGGAGGAGTGACATCTATATTTCTTCCCCCTTGAACTTCACCAGACCCTCATGCCAGCCTCAGAGAATAGAACATAGCAATGTTGACTGTGTGACTTATGAAGCTGGGGAATAAAGGGCAATCTAGTCCTTGCCTGGCTCATTCTCATTTTCTTGTTAAATACTCACATTGGAGTCCTGAGCTTCTATATAAGAAATGTAGGCCACAGGAGATACCACCTCACACCTGTAAGAATGGCTATCATCCAAATGACAAGAGATAACAAATACTAGCGCAGATGTGGAGAGAAGGGAACACTTGTATTGCTAGGGTGGCAATACTTGATGGTAATATACAAATATTACCTCAATTAAAAATAAATAAATCTTTTTTATAAATAAATCTTTTTAAAAAGAAAAGGGAACCTTTGTATTGGAAAGATGTAAATTGGTGCTGTCACTATGGAACACAGTATAGTAGTTCCTCAAACAAAAATTTTTAAATACGAGCCTCCCTGGAGGCATAGAAGTTAAGTCTCAGCACTATCACCACTGCAGGCTGAGTTTGATCCCTGGCCATGAAGCTGATCCACATATAGCACAGCAGACCTCTCCTTGTTCACCTGCTGCTCCCCTTAGCAGTGTATTTCTATAAATCCATCTGTTCCACTCTTTACCCTGTCTCTGGTGAATCCTCAATCTCTCTCTCTCTCTCTTTCTCTCTCTCTCTCTCTCTCTCTCTCTCTCTC